TTAAAGTTTGGTGGTGGTGTTTTATAACAAGTAGAATACAGCTATGTGAAGGTAATTTACTATTTTAGCAAAGGCCTCTCTATGTAAGAGGTTAACTATGCGTGAACAGGATAGAGGGTTACTTGTCATTATTATTAACTGGGAAATATTTTCGCAAGTGGTCGGTCGTCTTGAGAATTGATCATGTTTCATTGAAGTGACTGCTAGAATTCAAGAGAAGGCTAAGTGTTGAGATGTTCGCAGGAGTACGGCTTCAAAATTGAAAAGCGGAACTTAACCATTGTTAATGCTGATGCTTTATCCAGGACACCATGCTTTCTGGAGAAAATTTTTTAGAAGAACTTTCATCTAGGGCCGAAATGGATGGGACAAAAAGATTCTGACCATAAAACTCAACTCAATAATAATAATAATAATCAATAAAAAGTGAAAGAAATTTTAAAAAATATTTAATAGTGCCGAAACTATAGGAATCTTATTTAAATTGTGCTGCAGTATCTTGTATTTGTAAATGAATTAAGTGAATTTTTACTTTTAATTAGGTAAATTATTGGTTCAAGTTTCATCTATTTACATTAATTATATTAAGAGATATTTGTATAAATTGTATAAAAATATATTTTTAATTTCAATATCTATATCTGAAAATACAATGATTTAGAAACTTGATGCATAAAGGTTTTTCAGTTTAAAATAAGACAGGTCAATATTTGATCTAAGAATAATCACCGGACCTGACCAGGGTACTTATAGGTTTTTCGGATCGCTGATTCCGAATCCGAGGTTGGCTAAGCTCTATCACGTCAGGTTCAAGGTCATTTGAAAGTCAAATGGCCAAAAATGGTCTAAATAATCTGAAAAAATTCATATGTATGTTTTTGGGGTAGCCGAGTTCAAAGCCGCTGCTATTTTTTACCATTCAAAGACATCTAAAGGTCGTATCAAGGTGATTTGGAGGTCAAATCGAAAAATATGGTCTAACAAATCTGAGAAAATTTATACGTATGTTTTTGGAGTAGCTGAGTTAAAATCCGCTGGCAGTTTCGCCCCTGAAGGACATATGAAGGTCATATGAAAGTCATATCAAGGTCATTTGAAGGTCTAATCGAGAAAATCGGTATAAAAAATCTGAAAAAATTTAGGGAAGTCACGAAAAAGTTTTTAGGCAATAATAAAGACCCCGACTACAAAAATAGTGTTGTAACAATGGTAAACAATTTCCAAAAATTAGGATGTTTAATGAACCTTAAATTCCACTTTCTTGATTCTCATCTTGATTTCTTTCCAGAAAATCTAGGGGCATTCAGTGACGAACAAGATGAAAGAATGCATCAGGACCTGAGTGACTTTGAGAAAAGATATCAGGGTGTTTGAGGAAAGAATATGTTGGCCAACTATTGCTGGTGTTTAAAAAGAGACACAAACGTAGAACATAAAAGAAAATCAATTAGAAGATCGTTTGAAACTAAACGCAAACGATTCAAAGCTGACGATTAATTTGTATGCTATGCAAGGAGATTCATTTATTGAAAACAATTTTAAAAACAGTATGGTGTAAATGGGGTGAAAGTCTCAGCTTAATGGCTGCACACGTTACTGTTCTTGCCTTAACTGGCCGGGACATTCAATCGTCTTGACTTAATTGTCTGGACGCGCTTATGTTCCTGCCTTAACTGGCCGGGACATTCAGTCGTCTTGCCTTAAGTGGCTGGACACACTCTTTTTCCTGCCTTAACTGGTCGGAACATTCACTCATCTTGCCTTAACTGGCTGGACACACTCTTGTTCATGACTTAACTGGCTAGGACATTCACTCGTCTTGCCTTAACTGGCTAGCATCCTTTATGTTTTCGCTTCATTCAGTCAGGAGTCGTATATATACGTGTACATTTTTTCAGATTTTTTAGACCGATTTTCTCGATTTGACCTACAAATGACCTCGACATGACCTTGATACGACTTTTAGATGTACTTAAATGGTGAAAATAACAGCGGCTTTGAACTCAGATAGCCCAAAAATATACGTATAAATTTTTTCAGATTTTTTAGACCGATTTTCTCGATTAGACCTTCAAATGACCTTGATATGACCTTAATATGACCTTCAGATGTCCTTCAGGGGTGAAACTGATAGCGGATTTTAACTCAGCTACTCCAATAACAAACGTATAAATTTTCTCAGATTTTTTAGACCATATTTCTCGATTTGACCTCCAAATCACCTTCATACGACTTTTAGATGTATTTGAATGGTAAAAATAGCAGCGGCTTTGAACTTGGCTACTCCAAAAACATACGTATGAATTTTTTCAGATTTTTCAGACCATTTTTGGCCATTTGACCTTCAAAAGACCTTGAACCTGACGTGATGGAGCTTAGCCAACCTCGGATTCGGAATCAGTGATCCAAAAAACCTAGCAGTACTCTGGTCAGGTCCGCTGATTACTCTTAGATCAAATGTTGACCTGTGTAATTTTAAGTAATAACCTCCTAAAATTATGACATGAACTTAGAAAGCTAATTGAAAATTATAACCAGTATTCAGCCAGTATTTTGGGAATAAATTGCATTAAAGTTAAATCATTAACCAAAGTGAACATAGTTTTTAATTGTAAATTGGAAAAACTGACATATTAGTAATATTATAATATAGTTTATCACCAATATAATCAAATACCTTTCCATTGTTTCTATATTCCTTTGTGTGAAAACAAAGAGGGCATCATTAACTGACAAATTATATTTATTTTCAGTACGACAACGAAATGTCCGCTAAGTAATTATTAATTCTCATCAGCTATTGTTAACAGGATATTGTATTTCAGTAATAATAATAAACATCAGACAATACCTTGATGACAGCAGTTCCCAGTGTAGGTCATTGCTTTCTACAACTTTCCCTAACAATTTTTTTTTTGAACTTGGAAAAAATCTCTTTAAATTGTAACAAATTTCCGCTTAGACAAAGTTAAAGTGGAATAGTGGAGCAATGAGAAATTATGCATGCACGACGACATTCGGCTTTCATGTTTACGTTTGTCAAGATAAATGGCGTGCTGCTCTTCATCTACTGATTCATTGATTTCTAGTCAGGTATAATAATAAAAAAATATATTTTGCTCTATGTAAACACTGAATACCTTTAATAATTGAAGCGCTGCTCTTGGTAAACAATTGCGTTAACATTTCCTAAGAACAGTATTTTCTGGAGTGCCCATTTTTCTCAGAATAAAGTAAAATGAAGCCATGCCACTGGCACCGGTGGCGCGGTTTAATTTATATCAAAAAATGTCTTGTAATGAGAAGTTTGTTTGAAAATCAGTTCGTTTATAAGAAATATTGAATAAATTGAAAAAAAAAATAGGTTTTAATGTCCTGTAGGTTTATCAGAGGCGGGATATTTTCGAATACAGAAGGTTGGTGTAATTTTTTTCTTATACAATGCCTCAGAAATTTTTTTCTATCACAAGAGTTTTCAAATCTTTTTTACAATTCAAACAGAAATAAATAAGCTGTAGTACCTATCTTGTGACATGTAGCCAAATGATTAAGTGGTCAAACTGTAACTGTAGAAGAATATATTAATAAGCAGTAAACAGAAATTAAAGTAGATGTACGAATTGGAAGTTCTTCTGTTCGAAGCATCTGCGGAATAATGACCTTGGGTTTAATAAATTCACTAGAATTTTGAATGCATTATATCAGTTCCTTCCTTGTATTTGTTGGAGAAGAGTATTCCAGCTGCTTCATATGGTTCCAGGTAAAATAATCGAGGGGATTAATGTCGGGTGACTGTTGAAGTCATGATACAAGACGTCCTCTGTTTATCCATTTTACTTACTATGTGACAACTGGAACCGGTATTTATTTATTTATTTGTGAGTTACTAGCAACTAACAAACAAGTCCATCGCTTACTAGATCTGTCTGAATCAACCGAAACATCGCTTTTTCGATCAGGTGGTGCTCATGTGGAAATTATATTATGCACTTTATTTGTTTTTATGTCAGACTAAATTAAAAAAGGTTTGACTTGCTCAAGAATTGTAGAAAGAATTTGGATAATTTAGTTTCCCGTCTCGGATCTCCGACATTCTGATAAAGTTGCTGCTCTGATTTGCTTGCATTTTTTGGTTACATTCTGACTCAGTCGACTTTCTGGTTCTTCATGTATTTTTGCAAATTGTTAATGATATGCCTACTTTTATTAAATATAGATATGTATTTAAAGAAATAAACCAATTGAGAACAGCTTAGGAATAAATCCGTGACTAACTAATTATTTTAAGTTAAACGGTGAAGACGTAAACTTTGTTTATCATTAAGAGTTTGTTACTTTTTTCTTAAGATCTCAGTGTTGTACAGAAAATTATAGAAAAATTTGTTTGTTTTTAATTTGATAGTTTACATCTACAGAAGAATATTAATAAATAAAATTTAATATCTAAAAGTTTTCTTTTAAGAATTATAATTAACGCGACTACAATTTCAATAAATTATAGATTTAAATATTAATTTAAAATATTTACTTAATACAGATATCCTATTTAGTTATTTCTAATATGAGACTTGTAATTTTTTCTTAAATATTCAGATTTTTAAAAAATAATCCCCAGATTTTCACATTAAGTTTAATTTCTTCTATAATGTCTGTTTTTCCGCCTGTTTAATATATTTTACATTTATGGACTAAATCCAATTAAAGAATAAATAGCAGTGTTTGAACCAGTTAAAATCAGTCAATTTGTACGAATAAATAATCATTTTTATGGCTCACTTGGAAAGTGTTTGAAACGAGATCCGTGTGTTGCAGATGTTTGTACTGTTTTAATTTATGAACGGTAAAACTATTGCTCTTATTCTCATATTCCACACCTACTTTCTTTTTATTACTAATTTTCTATTTATTAGTGACTGAAATGCTCCTTGACTATATGTTTTTGTTAGTTTTTTTAATTTGGTAGCAGTAAAATAATTTATTTAATTAAAACACTGTTGCAAAGAAAACGTGTTTTTTATTAAAAATAAATCCATAGCTATGTCGTTCCTTATAATTACTTTGCGGTAAAACGGAGCAAGCGAATTCGTGTGTCATTAGGCCATATAAAATTGTTTTGACGAGGTATTTGCAGTTCTTCTATGGCAAAGGATGCTTCACCTAAAATTAGACGGTATAGAGAAAAAGTTTGAAAAAATAAATGCAAGTTAGATTTAATGATAATGGAATTTAGACACATGGAGAACTTCTTTTAAATGGTAAGTATATTTCGGTTGCCTAAGTGTTCTTAAGGATAACAAGAGGTTATCAAAGTAAATAAGGAGAACGAAGGATCACGTATTTTTTACAGATTTCATTGTAATGACCGGAAAATTTCGTACAATTTTGGTGTGGTATTCTTATAAAAAAATTGAACCCAAATCATTGAAATGAACAACAATTTAAAACAATTATTTTATAATTATTTTCTAGGTCGCGTAGCTAAATGTGATCTATACAGGGAAGCAAGACAACATTTTTGTACTATGGTGCAGCATTTGTGTTATGGTGAAGCAAGATAACATGTGTGTTAGTTCGTAGAAACTGAGTAAGACGGAACCAAATGTGTTTACGTATCGGTGGACAAAATTTTGAACAATTGTTGTAACATCAGGTATGTCAAATTATTTTATTATTTAAAACCACAAATTAATTGTATTAATTAAAATAACAATAGCGGCAAAAGCCGTTGAATTCATTCAATCATTTTCGAACTGTTTTTTTAATTTTTTCTTTACAAAATTGTATTTGTAAGAGTCTCCTGTACATCCAGATTTTTTTTTTGGTAAGTTCTGAATCATCCTGTATAATAAATTAGTATAAATAAAAAATTATTTCAATACACGAAAATATAAAACATACTTATATGTATATTCTTCTTTAATAGATTTATTGAAATCATTTGGTTTAAGGATCTTTTACTTTTTTGCTTGGCAGCCGACTATATTATGTTGCTCCAGGAATGTTCATGGTTTTAAATATCTGTATTAATATGGATACTAAAAGCGTTTTTTAATTATTTGTTGTGTAATTAGTTACATTTTTCAACACAATGCGTACAGAGTGTATCTTCATCTTGAACAGAGCCTTCATGAATGTTTACAAGCCACGTGACCGTCGATTATGCGTTCGCTGATAGCTGTAATTTTTCACGAGATTCTGTTCAACCAATCAGTAATCGCATTATCTCGAGCGTAGACGTAACTGTTTATCATTGTTTATCAGCAACTCGGCATTGAAATATTTGAAAAACTTCCCATATTTATTGAACCATACCCATATACAGGTCTGGTCGAACTGAACGTGGAGGTGGTAGAAATGTATACGCCCAGTTGAAGAACGCGAGCGCGAACAAACGAAATACAAATACCGCCCGTTGTGGGCGGTGACTATTAGACGCCTTCACTATACCCATCCTTGTCTATCACATGGATTTCTATGGCTTACTTTATCGCTCTCACGTAACTTCAGATAGACCATCGGTACTTTTCTACCCGGTATAATAGAAATTTTCCGCATATTATATACAAATTATCTTTTACCTTTATCAGAAAACTTTTTTAGGGACGCCTTTGAAACTCATTAAATTTTATTGCCAGACGTTTTTTTACATGTTCAACTGACTTCGGAAAGACTATAAAATATGTTTTGTTTTTTATCGTTTCTAATAGTATTTCAGTAAGAAAATAATTAATTTTGTCTAGTTGTCAACGTGATGCAACATAAAATATTAATTAAATAAAATATACAGGGTGTTAATGATAAGTTTTGCCAAACTTTAATCATAAAGTTGGGCTCTATAAAAAATTCTGACAGGACGCTTCCCTACGGAAATACAGGGTGTTAAAAGTTTGAAATATTTATATTGTTTTTCCTGCAACATCACTGCCATAAAAGATTAAGTGATAAAATTTGGGGGATAACATTTTTTTAGTAGGGACTATTTTTTTATGGATAACTTATTCCAAAATACACTCCAGTGGCGTAGTTATTGGGGGAGTTGGGGACCTTGTTTGAAAAAACATCGTACGCCACAATGAATGTTAAATGTTTTTAAAATGTACAATCAATTTGTATAAAGTATTCTCGTAAAGTATTCTTAAAATTGTCTTTAGATAATTAGGAAAATAAATAAGAAGATACTTAAGTACCTACGTTGCTATTTACCATTCTCTATTGAATGCTAAATGTGTAACGATAAATTCAATACCTAATATTTTTGAGAGATTTCAAAATACTATACATCACAAGAAATATTCAAAATGCTGTCCTTAGGATACAATGCATGCTACGCAGCGTCTCCGCATTGATCATCTTACACGCCTCATAATTCCAGTCGTATTGTGTATGTTGCGAAACCCTCTACAATGCGCTGTCGAAGTACTTCTATATTGGGAACTGGAGTACGATATACCATAGTTTTGAGGTAGCCCCCAAAAAATAATTCAATTCAATTATTTAAAAAACCAGTGGCGTACGATTTTTTTTTTCAAAAAAGGTCCCTTACTCCCCCTAACTATGCCACTGGAGTGTATTTTTTGCCAATGAAGGAAAAATCATATAAATATTTTAAACATTTAACACCCTGTATCTCCGTAGGGAAACATCCTCTCAAAAATTTTTTTAGGGCAAAAGTTGATTATTTTCATCGGTAGAATAGAATACGCCACTAAAGTTTGGCAAAACTTTTCATTAACTCTGTATATTTCATTTAAGTAAAAATACTTGACTACGAAGTCCGTTGCTGACATATAAAAATATAGGAAAAAATATATATATTGCAATATAGCGTAATTTTTATTGCAAGTTTGCAAAAGATTTTACTAATAGATATTTTTAATAGATTTTGGTTTATCCTCCAAAGAACTTTCCCGAGTTTGTAAATACATAATACGTTTAGATGTTTTTTACCTCACTTCTTAATAAAAAAAAACGAAACTTACCAACACGGACAAGGAAGTCCTCTAAAGTAGATTTATTCCTTTCCGTGCAAGAAAAAATAAATTCGTCTACAGAACAAACGCTGACAAGACACTTTAATGCACTAATTAATGGGTTAAAAAGTTCAGAGTCATAAACCACGTCCGCTGCAATTACTTTGTTAATGGTTCCTAATTTCCTGCAGCTTTCTTTATTAACTTCTTCCCAAGGTAGACTCAGTACAAAAACATCTGACTTTCCTAAATTGTGATAGAGGCACCTAAAATATGAACATATTACTGTCAGAATAAACTATTACTAAATACAAAATTTGTAAAAAATCTATATCAATATAATTTTATTGACAATAAGATAACAACTTAAGGGCTTATGTCCACCTCAACGCAGACACACTGTTTATAATTAATATCAATTTTTATTATAACTTTAAACAAATATAAAAATCATATAAATATTCATTGGTTTTATCCGCTACGCTTCCTGCAGTCAGTTGCCTATTGCCAAGACCAAGTAGAGGAAAGATAGGAAGCATACATACAGGGTAAGAACGGTCCTTAACTTTAGGACATAGTTTCTCATGAAAAAAATTCCTATAAACATGTGACCGGAAATTCTTAGATTCCGAGATACACGGCGTTGAAAATTAAAAAAATATATATTAATAAATATTTAATGTAAATTTGGAACGATTAGGTTTTTAAAATTTGGCATTTATTGTACGTTGGTAAAGAGCTGCATTTTTAGTATAAAGTCAATTTTTATCTGCCGCCAGTGGCGTAGTTAGACGTGAGTCAGTCGATGTTTTTGTTATAAAATGTAGAACGCCTATGGATTTTTAAAAATTTTTATTATTTTCGGACTCGCCTAACATTTTACAAAAAAAGGTGTCTTGAATTTCATATGTTCATGCACAAGAGAACGACTCTAGACTATTTACTGGGTAGGCGGGAGCCGCTAAAGCGATTTTGATAACCTACAATATTTTTATGATGAACTACTTGAATACAGGTCACTAACATATTATTTTTTATGTTTGTTTAGAACATATCCTGGTGATATCATGTTAGAAGTCGCGCTTCTCTTTGAATTTTATTTTGATTGTTTACTCGTAAATTAAATGGCATTAGTTATTTCATCCATTTTAAAATGTTTATTGTTATATGACAACTGTATAAACAATCAAAATTACTGTATACTTCGATCTCTTAACGATTTGGAGGTAGTTTTATCTAACGAAAAAGAATTTAATTATTAAATATTATTAGATTTATAAAATTTTGATAAGTAGGATTGGAATCTCTTAGATTAAAGTTATATGATGATGCCTATATATTTCCTACTCCAATTTACCATTAATTAATTTTTTATAAACATTTTTATACAAAATTAATTAATGGCAAATTGGAGTAGAAAACCTATAACCATATATCTACAGACTGTCTTTTACATGACGGCACAGTCCGTCTGCTACGTATTTTTGTCACAAAATCACTGATTTGCTCTATTGTTTGGACTAACTAGGCATCGCCCACTCTTCAGCAATGCTCTTGAATTCGGATTTGTGCATTCTTGCAGAAATGCTAGATTTTAAAAAAACATTGTAATGCAACCCCTCACACATTTTACACGCCCTACGCAAAAAAATAGTTGATTCCAAATAAGAACAGAAAATAATGTGGTACCGCTTAAAAAAACATAAAATTCCAATCCCCGAAATAATCTCAAGGTGTAAAATTTGTAAAAAACAATTAATATACTTTTGACGGAACATTTTTTTCATAGAGGATGTTTTTAACACGTAATAAACTTATACTAAACTATATATTGGGCATCGTGTATTTGCTATAGTCGCTATATATACAGTGGCGACAAAAAAGATCCCCGTGACTTTCTTTAATTGGCGATCTGGCCAAGGAGATTGTTGATTTGATCATGGTTAGTGTGGTATATTTTCAGTAAAAGTAAATCAAGACGAATTATATGAATCATTTTATTGCGATTGCTGCTTTTATATTTAACTAGCTTTTACCCGCGGCTTCGCTCGCATTGAAGTCATTAATTGATTTCGTGCAACTTTGGCGACACGGGCCCGCGACGGATTTTTGGATAGACCAGATTTCCGCTTCCGAGGCATTTTTAAAGAAAAACAGAGTAAGAATTAAAATCACGAATTAACCACAGAAATGACACCTAACCTGAAACAATAAATATAGAAAATGCTTTTTATTAAAAAAAAATAATAATTTTTTTTAATAAAAAGTATCCTATGTTACTTCTAATACCTCCAAGAATATGTGTACAAAGTTTCATGATGATCGGTTAAGTAGTTTTCGCGTGAAAGCGTAACAAACAAACTTACATTCACATTTATAATATTATTATTAGTAGG